AATTACGAACATTAGCAATGGCGAACATTAGCAATGACAAACATAGAAATAACGAATATTAGTAATAACGAACATAAGGAATAAGGAATATTAGTAATAACGAATATTAGCAATAACGAACATTAAGAATGACGAACATTAGCAATGACGAATATTAGCAATAACGAACATTACAAATAACGAACATTAGCAATGGCGGACATCGGCAACAACCAAAATTAGCAATAACGCACAGTAGCAATAACGAACATTTGCAATAACCAACATTAGCAATGACGAATATTACCAATTACGATTATTAGCAATAACGAACATTAGCAATGGCGGACATCAGCAATAACCAAAATTAGCAATAACGCACATTAGCAATAACGAACATTTGCAATAACCAACATTAGCAATGACGAATATTACCAATTACGATTATTAGCAATAACGAACATTAGCAATATCGAACATCAGCAATGGCAAAAATTAGCAATGGCGAACATAAGCATTGACGAACTGTAGCAATTGCGAACATCAGTGACTACGAACATCAGCGTCAGTTACTTGCGTCAATTTCTTTATTAAAGCATTAAATCATTTATGATTACATTTGTAATAACAGATTTTATCATTTTGATAACATTATAATTATGTATCACAGATTTTGTAGCATTTTATTGCGGTTTTCTCCCTTACTTATCGGTAATAGTTTGGCTACATTAATACGCTTTTACAAAACGTTCTTTTTATGATTTAATGCAATATGTTAAGATTCATATACAAATGATATGCACATTCTTTCGTCAAACAATTCTATAACAAGCATATTTTCTGGAGTTAACACCCACACACTTCCTGTAGAATACTGTAAACAAGGTCATTTAAGTTACAAACTATCCTCTTCATTTTCTCTGATACATATCTATGTGAGTGTAGTACTCACAAGAACTATACATCCGGTAATTACCCTCAATAATTTACATGATATTTACATTTGTAGTCACATGTTTTTACCCAATTAAATGTATCATGTCTTCCAATAATCACTATTTGTCGTAAGAAATACTTAAAACCAGAACTCATATTTGTTTTCTGAAATCATTGAATGAATAAAAAAAAACCAAGACATATGTTGTGATCACATGAGCAAGTGAATGTACTTTCTAATAAAGAAGATGGAAAATAGATTGCACTGATAATATGTATCATTTTTGTCAAAACCTTCTCAAATTAAACATGACAAATAATTTTGAACACAATGCAGCAATATTGTTTCAATCTTAATACAGATAAAAAGTACATCGGTTTGTAATGTCATTTGAGATTTAAATTCTTATTTCGTGAATATAATTGTTCAATATGAAGAAATAATAAAAGAAAGAGGAGGTTAACATTTGACAATAAGCTACGAAAGCGCATTATTGATAATGCATCATATATGATATATATAGCACAATTATTATATAGATACATTATTTGTCATTTGACAAAGTTTAACTTATCAAGGAAATAAAAACAAATTAGTCAGAATAATCTATACTGGTATTTGAATAAGCATAAAGATACTGTAAAGTTTTAATGGATTACATTTGTATCACTATATCTCAGATCGTTAAACCACCCAGTCAAACATTACAGTTCAATAATGCTGGTAAAGAAAAAAACTAATCAAAACTCATGATTTATTTACGATATTGTTTCTTACAGGAAGTAATCGACCATATATCTTACACGTGAAGGTGTCACCTTCTCCATTAAGTAAAAATAAACATACAAAAGCACTATAACTTCTTTCATCTTTAATTGGAGAAAAATGACAGCTGATGCCATAGTATGATGTTTACCTTGAATTAAAGAGCCCGTTTATTCTCTCTAAGAAAAAAAACAACGTTTATTAAAATTGTTACAAGACATGACAAAGATGTTTAAAGATAAATGATACACGTAGACACAGATGTCTATAGTTTGATGAAAATCTCTCAAATATTGTATATATTTATATGTGTGTGAGCAAGGCCTATGTTGCTGTTTTTATTTTTTCCTATTTGCTATCAAGATGTTTAATATCAACTTTGTTACCTTTATTAATTACATAAACATGGCACATGCCTAGCTACATGTATAGCTACATTCTAGAATTAACATTCCTAATTTACTTATTTTTTTCCATATAATCTCACTCATTTTTCAGGAGTAATTAGGCTTTTGCCTTATTGGCAATATCCACTTTTGTTCAAGAACGAGTACTTGTTAACAAATATATGACAGTTTTTTTTTAAATTAATTTTGTAATTTGTTGTTTTTTTAACTCACAAAGAGATTTCGATATTACATCCGATTTACGCGTTCCAGGACTAATGTTACATAGGCTAGTGATAAACACGTGACAAGGTTATTAGCTTGGCTAACAGCTTGCTGATAACCACGTCCAGTGATAGTCACGTGACATGCTTATAAGTTGGGGAAGCCCCTTTCTGATAGGTTACTGAGTGATAATCATGTGAAAGGTGTAACCCTTGCAAATAGATTGGTCCAGTGATAATCACGTGACATGGTGTATTTACTGATGTAGCATCTTGCTGATAGATTAGTCGAGTGATAAGTCACATGACATAAGAAGTACCTGGGGTAGCACATTGCTGATAACCATGTCTAGTGATAGTAACGTAACAAGTGTTTTAGCTGGGGTAATGCCTCAAGTGGTAATTGGTTAGCCAAGTGATAGTCACGTGACATGTGTAACAGCTGGAGTAGTCTCTTGCTGAAAGGTTTGTCAAGTAATAAAGTCATGTAAAAGGTAAAGTAGCTGGGGTCACACCTTGCTGATAGGCATGTCTAGTGATAGTCACGTGACAGGTGTTTTAGCTGGGGTACCTTTGCTGACACGTCTAAGCAACAGCTTAGTGTAATAGCTAGTTAATAAATTAAAATTTTAAACAAAGCTTGAGGTAAACTCTCATTACAATGGTAAATTACATGATAGCTTACTGTTCACACCATCTCTAGAGTCCGGATTTTCTGTTTGATGTAATAGCTAACCTTGTGTAACAAACTTTGTAAAAATGTGTTATATTCTGAGAGGAATTGTCGAGCAATATAAGCATACATCGATTACAAAAACTGGCAATATTTCTGATAATACTGATATATTTAATAGGAGAAATTATGGGGGAATATTTTCTGAGTAATAAAGAAATAAATCATTAAGTTGTATACAATAAGCCAAGTAAAAATAGAAGGCATTGGTAGAAAATATAAAGAAATGTCATAAACGCAAAAGTACAAACTTTATTCCAAAATATGTTACACAGTGACATAGAATATACACCAGATATAACTGAACTTTCTATCAAACTGATAAAGAATGATGTCGTTTAAAAAATAAATGAAATCTTCTAAAACATAAAAATGGTAATGGGTAATATGAATTACAGAGTAAAACAAGGTAGAAACAAATGATAACAATAATATAGCATTATAGTTATAGTTTTTGTTATGATTTAACCCTGACCCTTATGAAACCGAAAATGGTAAAGGATTGCAACCAGCCGGCCGTACACGATTGATTATAGCAAGGCCGGAAACGATTAATATTTGTTATTTATTATAATGTTGGTTGAATGATTTTATTCTTTTCATCTTCAAATCCCTTACTATGATAATATACAAGTCCACAATCCACATATTGAAGCTGAGCGATTCTAATAAAGCAACTTGACAGGTAAAAGATTGTTGACATATACATGTACAAATATTCACCTTAAACAAAGAAACGTTTCAATATTACTATAAACAAGAGGGCCATGATGGCCCTTAGGTCGCTCACCTGTATGTAGGCCCCCGGAGCGGGGCCAGTTTAAACCCCAGGGCTTTTATTTGAACAAACTTGGAAGACACCTATAAGAAGACGTTTCATGATGTACACACTTATAATGAAAAACAATGATCTGCCCTCCCATACCCCCGGCAGGGCCAATTTTAACCAAGGGCTTTTATTTGAACAATGACCCCCTGGGGCGGGCCTATTTTGACCCCAGGGCTTTTATTTGAACAAACTTGGTAGACACTCATTAGAAGATGTTTCATGCTAAATATCTTAGCTCTAGCTCTTTGGGTTTCTTAAAAAAAGATTTTTTTAAGTTTTTACTATATGCATATAGGGAAAATCAATGACCCCCTGGGGCGGGGCCAATTTTGACCCCAGGGCTTTTATTTGAACAATCTTGGTAGACACTCACTAGAAGATGTTTCATGCCAAATATCTAAGCTCTAGCTCTTTGGGTTCTTTAAAAGAAGATTTTTTAAGTTTTTACTATATGCATATAGGGAAAATCAATGACCCCCTGGGGCGGGGCCAATTTTGACCCCAGGGCTTTTATTTGAACAAACTTGGTAGACACTCATTAGAAGATGTTTCATGCTAAATATCTTAGCTCTAGCTCTTTGGGTTCTTTAAAAGAAGATTTTTTAAGTTTTTACTATATGCATATAGGGAAAATCAATGACCCCCTGGGGCGGGGCCAATTTTGACCCCAGGGCTTTTATTTGAACAATCTTGGTAGACACTCACTAGAAGATGTTTCATGCCAAATATCTAAGCTCTAGCTCTTTGGGTTTTTTAAAAGAAGATATTTAAAGTTTTTTCTTTTGGTTGCCATGGCAACCAGAGTTCTGCATGGAATTAAATTCTTTGAACAATTTTTAAAGGTGACCACCAAAGGAACATTCCTGTGAAGTTTGGATGAAATTGGCTTAGTGGTTTATGAGGAGATGTCATTTAAAGTAAAAGTTTACGGACGGACGACGGACGGACGACGGACGGACGCTGGACGAAAAGCGATCACAAAAGCTCACCCTGTCACTTTGTGACAGGTGAGCTAAAAATTGTACAGGTACACATTGAAATATTTCCATATTTATTATTGAAATGCCATCGTCGGATACCCACGGCCGAACCATTATCATTCTGCATGTTATGTGACATGTTTATCAATCGTGGGTATCCGACGATGTTGAAATGCTAGCTCAAATTAACTTTTTTTGACATAAATTTATTATTCATTTAGAAAAGGTCACGGGCCACAAGTTTGTGTATTTCAAATGACCTTATTACAAACTTAAAGCAACACAAGGTGTCGAAACCACCTCACCTGCTGGAGCTAAGAAATACATAGACTAATAGATGTTATTTTACAAAAAAAATGACAAATTCAAGCAAAATAATGAGATGATAAATGTTGGAAAAATAATACAAATAAAAAGCAAATTCACACGACGCCTCTTCACAAAGACTAACACAAAGTATGAATGTTTAAAATATGTGCCAAACCTTCAACACAATTATCTTTTAGAAATTATAATGTTCTTCACATTAAAATACATACATATACAGTAAAACTACAGAATTAAATAGCAATAAAAGTATTGAGAGCAAAGAACATTTTTTGTCAGAAATAAATGATATTTTATAAAAAAAATTGCTATGTGATGAAAACAATGCTAAGCAAACTAACAAAACTAAACAATTAACTTTAACTGACATGAATTTATTAGTCATTAAGAAAAGGTCACGGACAACAAGTCTTTGTTTTTCAAATGAAACTAGTCACAATGTAACCTTTGCAAAGAGCGGCCCTCTATATAGAAATTACCTCTTTACAACAACTGAATTAAAACCTTCCCAAACCAAAATTTAACACTGTAAGATTTTTACCGTAGTCTATAGAAATACCTCTCAGAAACAATGAAAACAATTGCTTCTTAAAGGATGTTACTTTAGAGAGGTTATAATGTATTAATGAAGTATAAACAAAATTGAAATCACGTTACACGTTCTGAAGCAGACGACAATTTTGTGGAAAAAACAGCAACCGACATTTGAACATGGAATAGATTGTGTACATTTATATATTATAATGTATGTCTACCACTGACTGTACAGTCATGTGATCACCAGAACTCCCTATTTCCTAGTGACAGCTTATTTACATGATATGATTGCCTTAGTCATTTTGATTAATCTCTTACAGAACTCGTTTAAACATTACTTATCACTAAAATAAAAAGAATACTGATTAATTTTCATTTGTTAAACAAATAAATGATGCTTATAATAATACTATATAAACACAACATTCAGTTCAGACGTAGACGGAGTTTACCTGGACTTCCGGTATGACTTTGACCTGCTGCATGACCTTTATCTGACCTTTGACATACATTTGCTAAGATCACGTCTGCTAGGCGCTTTACCTGATATTCATTAAAATTGTCATAAACACTCAAAAATCGTGCAGTTTTGCTCAACGCTGACAGTTCAGGTTGATTTTTAACACAGTAAATAGAGCTGTTATAAAGTTCTGAGCTTCTCAGACGTCTTGATCCGGGATCTTTAACATACACGATCACAAGACAGGCTGAAATTCAAATATCATACTATAATAGTAATTGTCATCAATGATATAATCACGTGATCTATTTATATTTTGTGGTATTATATCATGCCATTATTTGCAGAAATGTTTTCAACGGTCGTGTAAAATTTGTATGCGGAGAATTTTTACTTTATGGAAACTTATGGCTCATAACTTTCAATATCAAAAATACTGATCATAATATACCTGATGAACACAAATTGATTATACACTTCTCAGTTAAACGTTCAGACACAACAGCTCATAGTTTCAGTTAATAACACGTATTGCACAAAGTTGATATTGGAGCTAAAACTGCTTAACGTTTTTCATATAAATACGAAGTATTCATGGTTAAAGTTATAAAAACAGATTGCCCATATTTATGCATATGAATAAAAACCTGCTTATTTTTTTCTATTAACAAAAACTACACTCCTTATTATCTACTATTTGACCACAAACTTCTAATAGTGTATACCTTATTAACACATACTGCCAATAGGTTACCGCACGATTGCAATCTGCTCATAGTTGATACCTTATGAATACAAACTGCTAACAGGTTAATCTATGAGTGCAGTGTGCTTATAGTGTAACGTATACCTTATGAACAGAAACTGCTTATAGTGTATAACTATATCTTATGAACACAAACTGCTAATAGTGTATACCTTATGAACACATATTTTAATACTTACCCTATGAGTGCAATATGCTCATAATTGACACCTTATTAACACAAGCTGCTAATACTATATACCTTATGAACACAAACTGCTAATACTTTATAACTTATGAACACATACTGCTCATAACTTACCTGAACAACACAAACTACTGATACTTAATATAACAATGTCAATTTTATAAAAACAATGAAGAATAACTCTAACCTCCTAGTGTATCGATGAATTTGACAGTCTTACGTTTGAGGTCCCCGAGTCCCAAACCCGGCTCTTCTATAATCACGTGTCTACAATAATAAAAAATGTATGTATTTAACTAAACAGCTTAAACAATCAAAATATGATTTCACAAAACAAAGCAAAATTTGATAGTTTAAAATTTCATATAAAAAAGCTGAAATTTAAACCTCTTCATACGGTTCAAATACTTGTTAACCATAATTTATGTTCATACAACTAAAACAACACATCGTGAGTTATTTTTCTTTTTTAACTACAGCGCAAATATAGAATGTAAGAATTTTGAATTAACCCATTACTTCATATACACGCCTTTTAACGCCTTTTTCACCCCCCCCCCCTTTTTGTTGTCTCAAATGGTGAAAAAATGCCTTATTTAGGCCCCCAACACTTGTTTTTGTTTGAGAAATGTTGTTAAAAAAAGTGACCACTTTTTCGGCGCGGCCCCCCAACCAAAAGATACATCAGGGGGTTGCCAGAAGGGGGATGTGCCCCCTTCTGTTTGGGGGGTTTGAAGGGGGGCGGAGTCCCCCTCATCGCCAAGAAAATTTTGGACTTGTGAGAGGCTATAAATGACCTCAGATTGATCATAAGGTAACGTGTAACCAACGCTGAAAAGCATTTGACTCTATCTCAATCCATTGAGAAGTTGCAGCACTTTGAAATCAATTATGATGGAAAAAATCAACGCAAAATAGTGATTTTTGGCAATTTTGAGATGTCCCCTCGTTGCCATGGTAACAGAAAATTTAAGCCTGAGCATGTTGTTGCAAGGGCAATGGTCCAGTCAACATTTGTGCCAAGTTTGATTAGTGTTGAAGCAGTTTTTATAGTATTATAGCAATTTGAACTTGTAACGGGAGACTTTTCAATGAAAACAGCCATTTTTCACAAAATGCTCATGAAGCAATGGGTTAATAAAAAAAAATAAAAAAATCTACAAAACAACATTTTTTCTTCAAATTTATATGACAGGCCATGTTTAAACATGGAAAAACGCGATTTAGGGTAATTTCAAGTATTTTCATCATTTTCTGTTAATGAAAAAAATAAAAAAATCTACAAAACAACAATTTTTCTTCAAATTTATATGACAGGCCATGTTTAAACATGGAAAAACGCGATTTAGGGTAATTTCAAGTATTTTCATCATTTTCTGTTAATGAAAAAAATAAAAAAATCTACAAAACAACAATTTTTCTTCAAATTTATATGACAGGCCATGTTTAAACATGGAAAAACGCGATTTAGGGTAATTTCAAGTATTTTCATCATTTTCTGTTAACCCATTACTTCATATACACGCCTTTTAACGCCTTTTTCACCCCCCCCCCTTTTTGTTGTCTCAAATGGTGAAAAAATGCCTTATTTAGGCCCCCAACACTTGTTTTTGTTTGAGAAATGTTGTTAAAAAAAGTGACCACTTTTTCGGCGCGGCCCCCCAACCAAAAGATACATCAGGGGGTTGCCAGAAGGGGGATGTGCCCCCTTCTGTTTGGGGGGTTTGAAGGGGGGCGGAGTCCCCCTCATCGCCAAGAAAATTTTGGACTTGTGAGAGGCTATAAATGACCTCAGATTGATCATAAGGTAACGTGTAACCAACGCTGAAAAGCATTTGACTCTATCTCAATCCATTGAGAAGTTGCAGCACTTTGAAATCAATTATGATGGAAAAAATCAACGCAAAATAGTGATTTTTGGCAATTTTGAGATGTCCCCTCGTTGCCATGGTAACAGAAAATTTAAGCCTGAGCATGTTGTTGCAAGGGCAATGGTCCAGTCAACATTTGTGCCAAGTTTGATTAGTGTTGAAGCAGTTTTTATAGTATTATAGCAATTTGAACTTGTAACGGGAGACTTTTCAATGAAAACAGCCATTTTTCACAAAATGCTCATGAAGCAATGGGTTAATAAAAAAAATAAAAAAATCTACAAAACAACATTTTTTCTTCAAATTTATATGACAGGCCATGTTTAAACATGGAAAAACGCGATTTAGGGTAATTTCAAGTATTTTCATCATTTTCTGTTAACCCATTACTTCATATACACGCCTTTTAACGCCTTTTTCACCCCCCCCCCTTTTTGTTGTCTCAAATGGTGAAAAAATGCCTTATTTAGGCCCCCAACACTTGTTTTTGTTTGAGAAATGTTGTTAAAAAAAGTGACCACTTTTTCGGCGCGGCCCCCCAACCAAAAGATACATCAGGGGGTTGCCAGAAGGGGGATGTGCCCCCTTCTGTTTGGGGGGTTTGAAGGGGGGCGGAGTCCCCCTCATCGCCAAGAAAATTTTGGACTTGTGAGAGGCTATAAATGACCTCAGATTGATCATAAGGTAACGTGTAACCAACGCTGAAAAGCATTTGACTCTATCTCAATCCATTGAGAAGTTGCAGCACTTTGAAATCAATTATGATGGAAAAAATCAACGCAAAATAGTGATTTTTGGCAATTTTGAGATGTCCCCTCGTTGCCATGGTAACAGAAAATTTAAGCCTGAGCATGTTGTTGCAAGGGCAATGGTCCAGTCAACATTTGTGCCAAGTTTGATTAGTGTTGAAGCAGTTTTTATAGTATTATAGCAATTTGAACTTGTAACGGGAGACTTTTCAATGAAAACAGCCATTTTTCACAAAATGCTCATGAAGCAATGGGTTAAACAATGCAATATTTAAAAAATTAATAAACATTATTTTTTGTTCATTTAGAAAAAATAAAATACCTTTCTGAGAATTCAACAAACATAATACACAATTTAGCACGTGGAATGTGAAGAATATGCTCGTGTCGTCGAATCACGTGATACAAAACTCTGACGTCAGCAAGATCCAAAACATCTTTCATCAAAAGTTTGTGGTGTTTTTGAGCGTCTTCATAAAAACTGACCACAGCTACAGAATCTTCAAGAGGGGCAGATAACTCGATGGGAAGTGAATTCGGATATGCAAGTCTGTTATAAACCTGAAATATACGTTATTTGGTATGCTACATGGTGAGGAAAATGTGTAGCCAGATTCGACACTGGACACTTCAAATAACATTTCGCAGATTGACTGACATAGCATGGTGAGAAAATTGAGCACACTGATAGAATTTTGATTATATGGAATAAGACAACTCGTTTCGCTGCATTGTCGGCTGAGAGGCAAGCAAATAAGGAAACTAAATCAGATGTTTTGCTGCTCTGCTGACTTCGCTAAGGCTGCTTACATATAATCCCATTGAATACAATAGTTTATTTAAAGAACAATACTTAATTATATCAATTTTTTTATCTTAAAATATAAGTAAAATGCAAGCTGTGACGTCAGCACGTGTTCACCAAACGAAAACAACATCATACATCTTTTATTTAAACGTTAAGCAAAACATGTTTTATAAGACAGCATAAAAAAGAATAAAGCTAAATTCGAATATAAAACAACAATTTTCTAATTTATGCACAGTTTTTCTTTTCGATGTTAAATTTCACGTTCTGTATGTGCTAAAAAAATCTACCATATCACTTCATTATATAATTTTTTACTTTTTATACTCGTCTTTTAATAGAAAACATGTGTAATCTGTCATTTCAATAAGCCAATATGATGCACTTCATTTACAACTGTTGTAAGTTCATAAATTTCTTCATATGTATGTAAGTAAGACAGCTTAAAGGACCATAATATGATTCACAAAACAAAGTAAATGCAATCATTTGAAATTAGATATTCTGTAAGCCTCAACAGCAAAGATTTCAAACATTGTAATTTTGCTTAAAATATTGCTAAACTTTTCTATCACAAAGGATTGCAACATTTAAGTTGTCTAAAAACACTGCAACAATTGTTTTAGTATGTAGCCCTGTATACATTTTAGAAAATCATTGTCATGGCGATATTCTGTATGTAAGTAAATAATTTGATGCTATGTTCTTCCCGACATTGAATAAAGTTTCTTGTGTAAAACAACTAGTTATCATGCTCTGTGTATTTTCTTATTCTACCTTCTCATACAGGGTTTAAATGACAACGATTCCAAGTTATCGCCTCTTTCCTAAATGATCATATCCAAACTAATAAATCATTCGTTTCTTTCATGTACAAATTGTTGTAATAAATTAGTATTTTTAATAACGGGAGATTCAATATATGAGCCGCGTCACGACAAAACCATCGTAATGCGTTTGCGACCAGCATGGATCCAGACAAGCCGGCGCATCCGCGCAGTCTGATCAGGATCCATGCTGTTCGCTTACCAACTTTATTACAAGTAGAGAAACTGATAGCGAACAGCATGAATCCTGATCAGACTGCGCGGATGCGCAGGCTGGTCTGGATCCATGCTGGTCGCAAACGCACTATGTTGGCTTTGTCATGACGTGGCTCATATTTTATTTCTGTTTGTATTTCTGGTTGTTGAGTTAGACTTAAACTTACTTCGACAGGGGAATGAGGTTCTTCTCCAGTGTGTACAGCATGCTGGCCACCATCAGTTGATGTCCTTCCGGCATCAGCTTGAACTTGTGGTGAACTTCGTTTCACAAATATGTAGGTTATAGTAAAGTTTATACCCATTAGCACAACCAAGAGTAAAAACGCATATGTAAACATTTCTGAAAATATAAATAAATTAAGTAGAATAAGCAAAATTCAAATACACGTACTGTAACCGTTATCTTTTATTTCATGCAACATTTGTTCTTTTGAAATTACAAGGCAAACCTTACATTGTAAACAATAAGACCTACGACACTCCGTTGTTTTTTTGTTTGTTTTATTTGGATTAGGGTCGTGGGGTCTTATGTCGCACTGCCACAGAAAATGTCATATGGCAAGGTTCCAGCTTTAATGGTGGAGGAAGAACTCAAGTGCCCCTCTATGTATTACTTCAGGCACGAACGAGCACCAGAGCAGAACAACCGACGTTCTGTAAGCTTGTTGGATATCATCTTCACATGAAATATTCAAAAGTCCCTGGCGGGATTCGAACCCATAGCGACGAGAGGCAAATGGTTTGAAGTTAATGACTACAACGTTTTTAAAACAAAGAATGCAGCTAAAATCACTTCAAGCTATATCCGTATTCAATATGACGAAAAACAAAGCTCAATCATAGGCATTGAACAAAAATGACACTAATACGTGTCATTCTCTGTCACAGCATGTGAATATGTCTTAAAATTAAAGTTATATACATACCTTTGTTAAATGTATTTGAAAATATAACACCTACAATTTTCTGCTGTTGTGAAACAGTTTGATTCACCTCAAGTGTCTGCTCTGTCAGGGCTTCCACTGCTTTTATGATTTTTTTCCCTATATCAGTTCTCAGTTCATCAATAGTTTCTTTCGTCTCCTTGACTGACTTATTTAGTGAGGCTTTTAACTCTGAAATTTCTCCCTTAATCATTGTAGTAAGACTTTCCTTTACTTCTTGTATTTTACGATTATTCTCAGATTCTACTCCGTCCACTTTTTCCATAAGCTTTTGAATATTTGTTTCGATACCACCAATAACTGTATTGGTATTTGTCTTAAAAGTTTCTAATTCTGTATTCAACTTTCCTATACTTTTATCTGTATTCTCTTGAAGTTTTTCTGTTTCCGATTTTAATTTATCTCCAATGTCTCTTTTAGAATCTTCAAGATCCTCAGATAATTTTGCTATTTTGGTATCAGAGTTTTCTATTTTACTATTGGTAGATTTAGAGACACTATTTATCTTCTCATCAAATTGATTAGAGATTTTATTTATTTTTTCACTTAACTTATTCTCAACATTTTGTATTTTCATTTTTATATCATTTTCTACTGTACCTTTCATATCTTTTATTCCCTGCTCTAAACGTTTCCTCTCTGACTCAGTATTACCAAGTCCGACAGTCATTTCTTTTCTAATGTCTTTCAGAGAATCATTAAACTTGGCTTCACTATTTGACATTGTTTTGTTAAGAGCATTTAGAGTTATATTTATTTGATCTTGATTGAATAACATTTTCTCTTCAATCACACTTATCGTTGCGTTCGTAGTCTGAATTTCTTTTGTCCATGTTTCCTTAAAATTTGTTACTGAATTATCGAGTTTTCCATTCACTTCTTTACCTATTTCTGTTAGTCTTTCTTCAATATGCTTGTGATCCGTGTTAGTTTTTGACTCAAACGACTTAAAGTCTTTATCAGTATTGCTTAAATCTTTTCTTAGTGCTTCTACTGTTTTATCAGTGTTTTCACGATACTGATCAAATTCTGACATTTTATTTTGTAAATCAGTTTGTTTCTGCTTTAAGTTTTCGGATTCCGCATTCAGAGTGTTCACTTCCTCGTTGAGATTCTTATGTCGCGTACTTAATTCAGTTAATGTTGAGTTACATATAGTTTTGAATTCAAGCATGTCTGTTTTGATATTTCCTGTTTGATTCATCATCAAGGTTATGTTCTCTGTTATGTCTTTTATTGTATCCGACCGCTGGCTATCGTATGATTTATCTTCTAGTAAGGCTGATAAACATTCTAACTTGTTATCTAAATGTTTCTGTGAACAGTTACGGGACGATAACACACCATCGCACCAGCTCGGGTTGTAGCATCGTGCGTAACTCCTACAACTTGACCGTGTGTCTTGATTTTCACGTACACTGGTACCATTAGCATAATTATATGCTAAAATAAAACACATCACCATATACTTCATTGCCTCCATTCTTTCCCTGTAAAGAAAGTCTATAATCATCTCTTTTGTATGGCTTGACATTGTTCAAAGCAAATACACTTGTTTCGTTTATGAAAATATAATAGAAGCTATTAATTAATCTACCAATTAAGTTCGTAATGATATCAAAATATTAATTTCAAACCGTATTCTTTGATTTAATAGATTTGTTGTCTAATATATCACGAAGAAAGATACAAAACATTAAATTTGTTAACTTTAATAAATAGTTTAATGATACAATGATTATTGTTGATATAAACTACTATAAACATATGATTATGTATATTTCATAATAGGATACTTCATACAATGAGATAATATGAGCCGCGTCATGACAAAACAAACATAATGGGTTTGCGACCAGCATGGAGCCAGACCAGCCTGCGCATCCGCGCAGTCTGATCAGAATCCATGCTGGTCGCTGACCAATTCTATTACAAGTAGAGAAGCTGGTGCGGATGCGCAGGTTGGTCTGGATCCATGCTGGTCGAAAACCCATTATGTTGGTTTTGTCATGGCGCGGCTCATATGATTATGATCTCTTTCGAACTTTATCAAACTAGAAAAAGAATAAATGAATGCAATGACATTATTATTTAATAAAGGTGAAGATTACAAAGGGTATTAACACACATGTATCACCTCGGCTATAAGGTCACTTCTGGCAATTTTAATTTTATAAGCCTAATATTATTTATTTATTCATTTATTCAAAAAAGGAAACGGCAATGTTAAACTATACTTTTCGTACCCAGTTTTACACATTATTCTATGTACCGGCGGGATTCGATCTCAAAAGGTCAAAGGACAGATAATCATGTTGCACCCCTTACTTCATTCGGAATTGCCTCACCTATTATCTATATTATCCTTATCAAAGGGCTTGCCCCTTAATTACTCGGACTCTTTTATGTCAGTAGGCTATAATATTACTTGGGTTATCCTGATTATGTTAATGTGTATTAATAAATAAAGTTAAATATGACGGTTATAATAACGGAAGTACATTATTTTGTAATTATATCCAACTGTTTTATATTGATTGCTGGATATAATAAAAGCCGGTTTAAAATTAAGAATAACATTTTTGAAATTTAATACCATAATCTTGACAAATAATCGTGACCTATATTCACGTCGATATAATAATGAAAACAAAATACAAAAAAGAAATATTCATAAAAAATCATGAAAAAATACGTTCGGCTTCAGTGAAGTTTGCTAGTTGATTGCCTTATTAAATATCAGTTCCTGTATCAAAATAATTGACATTATTGATAACCTTTTATTTATTGATAGGTAAATATATTCACTATAATATATATGTAGCATGCTAAAGGGGTCCGTACTCTCAGTGCCTGGAAGGGTGAGTGAACTCTCTTTTAGCATAGAATAGTGAGAATACACACACACACCGGCATGCAAAATTTCCAGTTAAAATAATACTTCATATCAATATTTTGAGGAAGAGTACTGTAGTGGTAGGGTACCGATAATTTTATGTGGAGGTCGTTGGTTCGAATACGACACCGGACGTGAAATTCTCTATTATCCTGAAACTAATCTTTCGATGACTCCTTTATACACACATAAAGCATTGATCTGGCGATAGACATAACCAGCTCTCCATTAAGGGGTAGGGTCTATCTCACATTTATGGAAAAAACACCCAAGAACATCAAAAACTACTACATTCATTGTAACATTCGGAGCCACGGAAGAGAATGCGCATATATCTGCAAATTGCAGTAATAACAACTATAACCATTTCGTTTTCGAAAGGTATATCCAAAACGTAATATGGACTATTTATAACGATCTACTAGTCAAAACAATTGCCCTTACACTTAAAATATCACAATATCTCATCGACTAAACGATCTACATAAAGAGGCGCAAGGATATTATGTTACATAACCCAGTAAAATAGTTCCGTGCCATAAGTGAACGTTTAATTAAAAGCATTTTACGAACTATTAATAATAAATACGACCGCAGCCAGCTTTACAACCCCTTTAACGGTGAGTAAATACGAACATGACGGCTACGCAATTGATCGACTTTAACAAAAAGTTAAAACTAGGCCTATAGATTATCATTATCTATAAATATCTTAAAACTCTTTCTATCCAAATCAAGTGCTATTTGTCTAGTGCCTCGTTAATTAATCGATCTATAGATCTACCTAATATAATTATGTTAGTTTTAATTTTTCACAGACCTAGACCTACTTTCATTTTTATTCCTATTATTAAGCTTTAACTTATCAAATGAAAATTAAAGCTTACCTATGAATATCCTTGCAATAACTATGAATCAAGTGCACTTATAACTTGCACTATAAAGCAGCTTAGTTCCAATTTTGGCAATAATAATCGTCTTTACTTTCGATTTCGTATAAAATCGTGCCACGTCTATTTCAGTAATCACTACTGTGAAATATGTACAACGTCACGCGAGCGTTCCGGGTGAACATTCTTCTGAATATGTTAAAAGTTAAACGGGTTTAAGAACTCGGAAGTTTATATAGATCTAGAGTAATTAACACATTTATTTAGACTAGCTTCTTTGACGGTATAATTTTTATGCTTTCATTTGAATGTGTTTTTAAATATGTATATAGCAAGCAAAAGCAGGAGCAGAAACAGAAGAGGCTTTGATAGGGGGAAGGGGTGAAATTTGGTTTAACAAAATGCGAAATGCGAGGCACATATGTTTGGCAGGTTGCGGCAGCATCCTGTCCATGTGACGGATGATTGTTTCCGCCTTTAAATTGAGACAATTTTGAAGTCTGAGGAGGTTAAAAAGGTGTCATTTCCTTGACTTTCTAATGTTTTTAGGCAGCCTTTTTGTTATTAAAGAACGCTATTCTATATATTTTCTACGGCCAATAAATGCACAAAACTGACACAAAAATACTCAACCCCAGTGTGTTTAAACGCATCTTTGGGACGATCTGGGGTTTCTGCCCGAGAGCATATGCATGAATTCGCGGCTGAAAGACATCTCATTACAGCTAAATTCCCGTAAAATGATCCTCTATATGAGAGAGCTATTTGGACGCCAAATCAAATCAAAGACATGACCCGGCTGTGTAGTAACAAAAGAGTACAAAGAGTAATCTCACTTAACTCATCCCGGCGTTGGAGACCGGGGTAACAATGAACAGGCGGATTAAACAAGCACTGTGTTTTAAGTCATGTAGTTCATATACTAACCAATCTTATATCGGCAAGTTTAGTAAATCATCGAGTCACCAACGTAAGGAATAAGTCTTGACGAGGTCTGCTGTACGTGAAATAAGTTGCGTCTAGTCATCCATGAATCGACGTGTTATATTTTGAGAATATAATACACACTTGAAATTTAAGTAATTAAGTACCCGGTATCTAATGAATATGTTTTAAGCTAATCTTTCAGGACGAAGGATTCAATAGTCACTACTTGCCAGCATACATGACACCTTTAATGGAGCAGACTGACAGATACAGAAACAATTAAATCTTTCTTTGGAAACAGACAAATGCCGCCCACAGCTAGGCTCAGTAAAGGACAATCATGACTTTTGACTACAACTTTGACCTTGAACTTTGAGCTGGAAACACGATTCGTATATGCGCTAACTGACGTCGCCATGATTTACGCTTGTATGTCGATTTATTTGAATGACATAATTGTTGACCGGATACGACCATATAAATTTTTAAGCAAGACGTGTATTATTATAGACGTTGAAATATGTTTTTTTTTTTCAAAACGGCTTATATTTAGGAAATAGATATTAATTCTGAGTGCATTGTTTTAGAAAAAAATAATGACCAACACAAAATCGGACAGATGGACGGACATTCATCCTAGGTTGACGTTATCGATCTCTAAAATTCAATGAGCAAACACTTTCAATCCTATTAGTAACTTTTCCCCCTAAATTGCAGTCATAAAGCAATAAACACAGACATCCATCCCATAATGTCAACTGAGTGCTGACGGATAGACAGACATACAGACAGACAGACGAAATGTCAATTCAAAAACTGTATCCCACCTTTCGGAATAATAAATATTGATGAATTATATTCAACATTTGAGTTTCTATTGACTTGTAATTATAGTCAGTTCTAACAGATATGAACGGAAGCATTTTCAAAATGTTTGTAAGTACAAGATAAAAATAATGTAAACCGATACGAACCTGAATAAATTTCAGATCTACTTATTTCCTAATGCGTAGCATTATTTGTGAGTTGATTTCAATCAGATTGAGCCGATATATTATGTCAACAAACTTTTGAATTACTAGATATAATTTTCATCACAATTGGTATGTAAAGTTTGGCTTGTTTAATACAGTATAATCTTGATCTACTAATTACACTTTCATTTAGTAAAAAATATTCGAAAGTTTAAAATTAATCAAATTAGAAATTTGAAGAAACCGTAAAATTCTGGTTGTAACTATTGTTAGAATATGAAAGTATTAAGAAAACAGTGTTCATAAATCTTCAACAGTTATCAGTTAATGAGGGTGGTATTATATCCTGTCTGCGCACAGATGGGTATTTTGTTTCTGAATTGTACAACAAAAGTCGGTTCAAGGTGTGTCTCTTGGCTCCCGGAAGACAGGTACAATCCCGGTGTACATCATAGTGTCTTCCATGTTGGAAATTCTAGTTAGTGGATTAGAAATAAAATATTACAAGAAAACAATCGAGATTTTAGAAAGAAATGTAAACGCTAGAAATTTATTTTTAATACAGCAAACGCATATAAATGATACATAAAAATGACATAATTAGCTTATTTCTGAATTAGGGAACCTGAATGTTCATGGTTGTCAGCTGATGTTCAGTGAACCAGTGATTTAATGTTGGTGATCGTCTTAAAATATATACAAAGTATCCTCAAACTTTCCAAACACTCTTCAACACTTCAATATAAAAACATCCTGGTAATTAAATATTTACACCACAATAAGATATGTTTATATAAAACACATATTTACTTCGTACTCTGACACCATCCCCTGAATCACCTTTATATATTTAAATATATTGATTCAACTTATACCCATGAATCTACCATACCATATATTAGTGATAGTTCACTGTACAACTCTTATCAAATATTTCCATTACATACCTCTGTAGATTTTCACATTCATTTCAGAATTTTGAATAAATGTTTATGTACAATCACAATATAAACAATAATAATATGACATCAAAACAAATCAAAAGAAATTATAAATCAAACACACACAACAGTATTGATCCTGTGGAAGAATATATGACACATAAGTTTGTATGATATTTTATGTTATTTAAAACGATTAATCACTTTAAAGTTAGTAAATCCCTTTACCAGCGTTTCATATTAAGGGTTAGTTTTCCGTATACCGTAATCTATTCTAATAGTAATACGGAAGCATTAAAGGAACCCAACTGAGGTATAAAAGCCTAAAAATATAGAATTTGAATTTCTTACTTCGATTTAATGGGGCACTTGAAACAGTAAGATATGCAAAAGATGATTAAGAAATATTCTTCGTACGATTTCAGTAAAAACCGTTATAACGCTTTTCAATTTCAGGTCATTTTCACAGTAATAATAACTATTCTAGAAGAACGTAGTGAGCGAATGATCTAAAATTTTGAACAAAGGTTTTACGTCTAGATTTACTAATCTCTTAATATAATTGTTTGTGATATATACAACCCGATTTGAGTGAAAACCGTTTCAATGCTTTTCATTTTTAGGTCATTTTCACATTATGATAACCATTCTGGAAGAAAGTAGTGAGCAGATTAGCTGAAATTTTGAACGTCTAGATTTACTAATCTAAAAAAATATTTCAAGTCCGGTCATATCAAAAGACTCAGTGGAGTCCCTTTAAGTTAACATTTAACATTGTTCCTATTAATGATTTTTATCAGATGTATAAAGATGTCATATTGTTACAAACTTGTGCTCGTTGTATTATCTAGGTCATATTGTCAACTATTTTCTGTCTCAGTACAGTTTTTTGGTGCTCACTCAGTTTATCATAAGTACTATAGAATCCATTGTTTTGTTCAAGATCAGAAAGTTCCTGTTGTTTTTTCACACAGTAAATATCTGTGTTGTAAAGTGCCTGTTTTGCTTGATTTCTCAATTTTCTTGATCCCGGATCTTTCGTGTACAATATAATGAGACAGCCTGTAATTGTTTAATTGAATAAAGTGAATAATAAAAAAATGATCATATTCATGTCTGAAATGCTTTATTCGAAATAAATTGAATAACGAAAATTTCATATTTATGCAGAACGCACGATGAAATCTTGTGAATAAAATGTCGTAAGATGAGTGTTGTCAACATTTTGGTTCAGATTTTCTTTTAATTTCAATTGCCGTTTACATTATGAACTACTTATTCTGGAACACAGCAAATATGTGGTAATATATACAAGGAATATTCTGATATAAAAGGGATGATATAAAATGATCTAAAATCCGAGAATTAATGTAAAAGTTGAGAAATGCTTTGAAATACTTCTCTTAGAATACTCCTTAAAATTAAGGAACCTTTCTTTAAAATGAGGAATGTAGCAATAAACGAGTGTTAAAAACTTGTAATAACTTTGAGCTAAAAAACCTCCAATTAAACAATAAAACTAATTAATTAACAATGAACATATCTATACCTCCCAGTTTCTTAACAGCATAATACGTAGTTCTATGTAGATCTCCCAAACCTAAACCAGGCTCTTCAATTATCACATGTCTACAACATAAGAAAACAAACATTCATTAAAATATCACAAAACAACAAAATAACCGTCTCAAATAAAATATATACAAATAAGGTCTGATCTAGCTATTATTTGGAGTATAGTTACAAAAATTGTTGTAAAGCTTTCAATTTATAAAAAAATTACAGTAACAATTTAATATACTGGTCACAGTTTGTTACTGAGCAATGTTAGTAACCAGTTGCACAAAAAAAAAGAAAGAAAAAGAGGAAACGAATCTGGCTATTTTTGCCTTATAAAATTGATTCTCCTGTAAACATAACGATATCTCGATATTCACTCCTTATAACAGCTAATTATTTCTTTACCTTTCAGAAAATTCTGTACACATGAGATAGACCTTACACCTCGGTAGTTCAAGAATCTGATCATGTCTTCTTATCACATGAGATTTTACATCACATTTTGGGATATTCGCGGAATCGAGTAATTCCCTGTGAAATCCTGCACGTGCTTCGTCATAGCTAATGATACATACACCCGACTGAAGGTTTGGACTTTGTGGTATCCGTCGTAGTACATCATTGCTGCCCTATCAAATTAAACAAAATATCCCTTCATTACTACATCTTTATTCCCTTTTTCTAACAAATTGTATTATTTATTTTCTTGAGGAACCTACATAATAATTTTTATTCTTCAGGCTTTCTCCTATGTTTAAACAGTGTTTATTTAATGTTTGTTTCAATGTTCATCGACACAAATGATTTTAGTAAATAGGACTATTTATTGGAGGCAGCCATTTCAACATTATTGTTTTTAAATGGAAGTGAATTATGTCCTATTGAAAAAAACGAAAAGTCGTGCAAATACAATCTGCCACACCGTGCACTGCCAAAAGCTTTTAGACCATATAAATATTTTTTATAGTTTTATATTTTCAACAAGAACGTACATTATTATCAATTAAATCAATCTATTATTAAATGACTTAATGAATTTATCAGTTTTATATTGTTGTATAAGGCAGATAAAGTTACTCGTATTGCCTTCAAGTGTCTTCTTACAGACGTGAAAAATAAAGACAGTTCGCCTTAGACAATTTGTTGTTTACCTAGCAAACTGTCCTATTACATCTGTAAGAATACACTTTTGACGAAAATTTGTACTGTATCCATTACTTAGCGGCAAATCTCTTTGAAAATGACGGACTTACATCCTTTAAAACCCTTTATTTTCTTTATACAATACGTTTATAAAACCTTAAATTCCAAAATTATCTGACGGAAAAAATAACTACAAACCATATCCTTCGTGTTTCGTTTAGCTTGTGTCCGTCCGTTAGTGTGTACAGGTTCCGTACTGCTCCCACGTTGGTATATATTAAATACGGCGACAGCTAGCACACACACCATAACAGTTAAAATCATAAATGCCATCACACAACTTCCTGAAGCAGTGGAACAATATCATCTTTATCTAGCTAACTTTCGAAAGATCGGCGATTTTACTAAGATATCCGCTTGTGTTTGAAATAATGCAAAAGCTGCACCTGAGGTCCTCCCCCAACCAACAAAGTTGGAAACTAGCAATATGAAATTGACAGAATGATTTAAAATACAGCAAACAGTATTTGTTCCTGAAGAAAAAAGTAATTGGAAAATTTATTTACCTATAAATCATTAATAAATGAAAATGCATATTTTCCTGCATAGGAACCATTAATATAAATACACCTTTTAAGTAAAGAAAACATATATGAAAATTTACATACATGTACCTGTAAAGCAAAAATTAAGGAAAGACACTGGCAATGACATTTGAGAACTGACATACTTGTGTTATTTGATCATTTATATTAAGGGAAATCATTTACTATTTTCGCTATTATTTATAAAACACGTTCTCGTACCTTTATTAAACGTATTTGGTTGTATGACATCAAGCTGTTCTTTAATTTCCTTAATTTTGTCTTTATGTTCAGCATATTCTGCCAGAGCTTTTGATGTATTTTTTTTAAGTTTTCCGAGCTCTTCTCTTATTATTGCTAGCTTTTTTTCTCCCTCTTCTACAGACACATGTAATTCTTCAATCTTTGAATCATCTGTTTCTTTAGTCATTATAAATTCAGAATATTTTCTAGACATCTCATTAATTTTTTCCCGAAGTCCATTCATTTCCTGTGCGTTAGGAACTAATTTCTTAATATTTGAAGCGTGTTTTGCAGCATCGTCTATTTTACCCTGAAAGTTACATAATAGTACATTAAATTTGCTACGTTCCTAATCTAGTTTATCTTGAGTTGATTGTAACAGCGCTTTAATGTTATCTTTGGTTCATTTAGTTTCTGCACTTATCTGTGAAACTTCCGGTTCAAGTAAATCTTTCACTTTCTTTGCAATATCAACATCAGAAAATTCGTATTTTGCACCCTTTTAACAATGTTAGTTTGATCTAACTTACTTTTAATTACGTTATCAACTTTACTTTCAATATCATAGTTTTTATCATAATCATGAGTTGGCAAAGATCTACTTACATGAATATTGTGATACATATGTGAAAATAAAAAATAATGAGCCAAAAGAGACAAAACTGCCACCACAGTAAATATCCAAAGTTGCAACCTGAAAAAAAAACGGTTTAATCTTATTTTAGAAATTGGTTAAATATTTAAGTGTTAACTTTGGTTAAATTTTACAAAGATAGAGGATATGGAAACGAATAAATTAAGAGGCTTTAGTTATAAGTCACATTATGCACAAGAAATGATTTTATTTTCATTTCTCAAAAGCATTTATATAGTTTTGGTGTCGTGCAATAGTTTCCAAAAGGATACTTATCGGCCAATTACCTGACCCATCTTTTCCTTCAGTTGCTTTCTTTCGGAAATTAGTACATATATAGTGATTAAGAATATTTTTATGGAAATCAAAATTCTACTTTCAGCATTCAGCACGTCTTCCTCAGGTGCTTACCATGTAACATGATCTAAAACCATTTTTTAAACATTATATAACTCATGTTGCACTTTCTAAAGAAAAAGTCCATTGCCCGCCCTTGTTTTCTCCTTGTTTGTGACAGAAAATCATGCAATCAAGCATTCTATCTCCAGTAAACACACGATCGTATCTGCCACACAACAATAAAAGTATGCCCCGCAATATCCGCTTAATTGTGTAAAATACGGAAAACCAGAATCCCCAAACAACGCCCAAAACCTAGCTGAAAAGCCTGAAAGTTTCATAACAGAATGTGTTATCATAATATCTGATTCAGAGGCAATCATTCCGTTTTCTATACTTTTAAATTCATATATTTTTTTTTTTATTTTTCCAAGCCTGTATTTTGTTTACACTTAGCACTGCGCATATTAACTCTTTGAGATTAGAGGCTAACATCCTGATTTAATCTAACAATTGATACGATATGAATATCTTCTTTGAGGGGTACATATGTTTTATTAACTCTCAATCAACCAAAGATTTATATACCCGTCTATGTGCAAATAATTACTATCAAAGTTCTGACCATTAATTTATTTTCTGTTTTATAGGTTTAGGAGGATTGTTCAAATTTCTATATATTCTGCGATGCAGAAGACAAACTTCAGCACCTGAATCATCTAATTATCTGTACTTTTTATGAAAAATGAATGAGAACTACCTGCTAATGCTATTCTAAATTTTAGTATTTTATCGTTCCTTTTGTTACAGGAACTTGTTAGGATCCCTGAAAATTTATTTTGTTTTTGTCGTAAATTTGTTTAAGGCATTCTCGCATAATATGTCCAAAATTATTACATTTCCAGCACTAAATCCTTGATATCAAATTATAATTGCTTTTATTTTTCGTAAATCTTGAAGACTTTTGAAGGTGAAATACAGAATATATTTCATTTTTTTACATCTACAATTATGCACATGATGACCTGACCTCTTACAGCAAACTTCTTGTATAATCATGATCAAAATTATTTGCTTTGTAATTATTGTATCTTGTGAGATTTTTAGAACTAGAAAGCTTTTCTACTCTAGCTCAAAATCTAGCCCTGAAATTGTGTTCTTTCGTTGCTCAAGTATTGGCAGCTTGTTAAGTTTTTGGCTTTTCTCTCATAACTGTTATTTTTAATTCTAACACTCACGTGATTTTGTCACTATATAGAGGATATTGAATGAGTGTAAGTTCAATACTGAATTTATTGCACGAGTTGAATAAAATTATATTATGCGAGCCTCTGGTGAGCATAATATTATTTTATTCAACGAGTGCAATAAATTCAGTAATGAACCTACACGAATTTAATATTCTATTTATCACATACCCAAAATAAAGACCGTTTAAAGAGAAATAAGAATCATTTTCATTGACGCGCCTATAGTATAACGCTAACATTTAGCGCGTCATTACACTATGTTTGTATAACGCTAATGACGTCACGTCAAAATATATGCACGGCCGTGCAATACCATATTTACGGAGTCGCAAAATCGGCACGGGTGTGTGATAAAGACAAAGAAGGAAAAAAAACTGGTGTTAAACTGCCAATAAGCACTCGTTAGGGACGACTTGTATATGCACTGTTATGTTTTCACCCCCGATTGTATAGTTTACAAAGCATTTTAAAGCAACAATAAAAAGCATTTTTATTTATATTTTCAGTTCGTATAATGTTTACCGAAATAATATCTCACATACACTAACGCCACATATAAGATCCATATCAGTTAATAAATATTTTGACAAAACGGCGCCAATCCGTAAGCAGCGTAATGACGTCATCCTAAGTAAACAACTCACTCATAAACAAGCTGACGTTATTTCATACATACAGTAATGATAAATGGGGCACTGATCTTAACACAAAACGACGTAAGTTTTGTATTGTTGAAAACTTGATAAAATAACGTTTTTTTCTTATTATTTCTTTTGTTTGATAATTTTTATATCTTCGCAACAGTAGGGTGCGAACATCGAATAGCGTTATACGAAAATCGGCACAGGAAGTCATTTCCGATTGAAAAATAACATTAGTGATTTTCCTTAATTTATCGTATTAGAATCTAAATAACATCGGCCTGAGAGGTGTATATCGGCTATTTAACACCGGATTTGTCGTTTTGATGCGACAAAATTAACCACTCAGGCCTATACGGCCTTCGTGGTCAATTCCTACGCATCAAAACTCCAAACCGGTGTTAAATAGCCGATATACACCTCTCAAGCCTATGTTATTTCTTAAATCAACTAACTGAAGTTCAATAAAACTATTATTTCCTTGTTCAACTGATCAACTAGTTGTCTAGCTTTTTATTTCATAATTATGTCAACATCGTAAAAATACTTTTTCACCATAATTGATATACATGCACATGTACGTACTTAGGGTTACATATAGAACTGTTATCAATCAACTTTGACATATTTTAACCACTCAACTATATTATCAAATAACAAATATGAATCGTGTCATGTTTAATTTTCATGTCATAAAGTAAATACATTTATCTGCTCAAAACTGTGTTTGTCATTCATTTTAATTACGTTATATATGTTCGACTTATAAAATTTAACGTGCACAATGCAACTCGCGTCTCAAAATGTGTCGTCTTAAGTGGAATGCCAAAAATTTTTAAATGACAACAATGCAAATATGTAACGTTACGAATTTACTTACTCTGGATTTTTCCCATCAGCGCTAAACCCTCCACCTTGAATTGTCGGTCCGTCTGCGCTTTCAAATACCTGATTAACTTTCGGTTCCCTCGAACATTCTGAACTTCGGTCATGTCCATTAGACCATGTGTCTTTTTTCTTGCCTCGACATCCCGGAAGAGCTGCCCGACTCATTATTAGATATTCTATCACTCCACGTGATTTCGCCACTATAGACAAAGAAGGGAAAAAACCGGTGTTAAACTGCCAATAAACACTCGTTAAGGACCATACGCCGCTTTTCATGGAATGGCACAAAAGTGTCACGTTGAAGGTTCCTTGATAACCGCCGTATGAACACATCTGCGGCTGTTTCTATATACAAAATTTTACCATTTCATGTTTAAATGTTTAATTCTGCTTAAGCCGGTGCTAGGGGGCGTGGACGGTAACTTGCACTTTCCAGTACCGTCCATGAACAGGCTCAATCAAACCGAGCCTGCAACATTTTCAATTTTGCCGTGTTGGGCTTTCTTTGGGGATTCTGTATTTATCTATTCTTGTATATGCGGCTTTTATGTTTTAACCCTCGATTATATAGTTTACAAAGCCTTTTAAAGCAACAATAAAAAGCATTTTTATTTATATTTTCAGATCTTATAATGTTTTCTTTTCATACAATACCGAAATAATATCTCACATACACTAACGCCACATATAAGATCCATATCAGTTAATAAATATTTTGACAAAACGGCGCCAATCCGTAAGCAGCGTAATGACGTCATTGTAAGTAAACAACTCATTCATAAACAAGCTGACGTTATTTCATACATACAAGAATGATAAATGGGGCTCTGATGTAAACACAATACGACGTAAATTTTATTGTTGAAAACTTGATAAAATACCGTTTTTTCTTATTATTTATTTTGTTTAATAATTTCTATATCTTTGCAACAGTAGGGTGCGAAAATCGAACAGCGTTATACAAAAATCGGCATCGGAAGTTATTATCACTTGAAAAAATAACATTAGTGATCTTCCTTATTTTATTGTGATAGAATCGAAAAAACATCAGTCTGAGAGGTGTATATCGGCTATTTAACACCGGTTTTGTCGTTTTGATGCGAAAAAATTAACCACTCAGGCCTCCGGCCTTCGTGGTCAATTCCTACGCATTAAAACTCCAAACCGGTGTTAAATAGCCGATATACACCTCTCAGGCCGATGTTATTTCTTAACTATAGCTGAACATCGTCTGCAAGACTCTCTTAAGTCCATTAAACCATGTGCAGTTTGCTAACAGCTTAAAATGGATCATTTCCCAAAAGGCTAAACCGAAACTTAGATTTTTTTGTGAAAATTACTGCATGCGCGATAATCTTAAATTCGCCAAGTAAATAAACTGTCTTAAATATTGTTTATCTTAATTTTGTTTATTTACAAAATTATAAGTTTTGATATCTTAATGTAAATTTATAAACAATGTGCACCACCTCCTGTCTACAGATTAGGGGCATGATGGTTAACGCGTATTTAAAATATAGGAGGTGTTGCAAAAACTTAATTCTAACACTATCGGAAATTTTTCTATATAAACAAGGAAGGCACGAAGCGTGCATTATTCTACAACAATGCACTCGCCGTTCTTTTTATCTCCCTGTGTATTTTCACATTGAGGGCGCAATTTTGTTTGAAAAATCTAAAAATAAAAACGATTTTTTTTGTCGAATTTTGTTGTGAAAACTATCTAGAATGAAAGAAAGTGGTCTAACTAAGCAAATGAATCCTGAACGCCAATATCTTTAGTTCAGTCGTTAATGCTACACGACTGAATGTTTCAAGTGTTGTTTACGTGACGTCACAATGTAGCGCCAAACTTCATGTGCAGAACAATCAAATCAAGTACGCTTTTTTAATATCGCAAACGAGTTAAGTTTTACATTTATTTTACTTTTACTAATTTGGTTTTCGCTTGAAAAGTTATAGAGTGAAATAAAATAAACAAAGTTTTAATCAACGTTTTTCAAAATTCGTTATTCTGAAAATGTTTCTACACACGGATGATTTAACGACAGTTTTTGTTTCAACCCACTGGAACAGCCTTTAAAGAACGTTTCTATTGGGAAACTCTGAGGTAAAAAGCATATTTTAACCACCAAATAATAAAGTCCAACGTAATAATAATAATTATATTTTTCTTGACGTGTAAGAATGGGAAAAAATAGAAATATAATAATGCACGTTTTATCCGTTCAAATGCTATGTAATTTAATCAACTCAGGCCTATTGGCCTTCGTGATTATATTTACTACGCATTTTGAACTCAACCCCGTGCTTATTTCTACAACAGTGCACTCAGAATTGATATCTAATTCCTAAACGTAAATTTTTTTGTCGAAAAGGGCATAATATTTTGTCAAAATGCTTGATAGAGTAACCTCCCCCCTGTGGGTACTGGTTGGGGTCATGAAGATGAAACAAGTGTGCAAAGTTTAAAGCAATAATTATGTCAATGGACTTTGAAAATATTTGAGGTATTACAAAACTTTAACATAAGTGGTTACGCGAACGCCGACGCTCGGGTGACTAGGATAGCTCTACTTATTTCTTATCGAACAGTCCCGAGCTAAAAAACGACTCAACTGTGAAAATCTTTGCTAACGTATGGTTCCTTAATCTAAGCCAATGATGGCGATGACTCCTTGAAAACATACATGCAGCAGTCATCTGTTTTTTCGACTTATTAAATAAAAATCAAATGGTGGGGCATTCACATTAATGGAAAAACAAATAGGACGTATTACAAATTCGAACTGGAAATAAGTAAAAACGATGCATGTTACTTATATAGATATAGGTATTTTCGTTTCCGAAATTACTTAGAGCAATCAAAGATTTGAGGCCTATCATATTAATGGAAAACCAAACAACAACACGTTTTTACAATCTCGTGCAGGAAAACGTGGAATGGTGCTTATACACTTATATAGATATAGGTATTGAGTTCCATAATTAAACGTTTAGTTTAATAACGTGATTAAGAATATGATCAATATCACCGTCATAACAACCCTTACAATGCTCATTCATTAAAGATTTTAATAATGGAAAATTACAAAATGAAACTTTTAACCTGGCCATTTTTGAATTGAAAACATATAATATTTATTATCTTTTATAGTTAGTGTAAAATTTCGGTTATTTCTATGCAAGTTAAGTGCCATAATTTCCCTTACGTTTACTGTTCATAAGTTTCCAGCATGTATGTATCGGAAGGTTCAAAGCTTATCGACTTAGTTTAGGACATATTAATTTAACATTGTATCAATTTTGAAGTAATCACGCAAATATTCTCGTGACACAGGAATGTGGAAAAATCAGGAATGTCAAATTTGTGCAATTTCTATGGCCGAAACCGAGGGTAAACGTAAAACCTAAAACCCCGGACCAAAATGCATTGCCATTGCTGTTCTAGCAAATCAAAAGCGTTTTTTTTGAGAATCCATATAACAAATATTTACAGGAAAGTATTTGATTTTATGAATGACGTCCCTGGCAACCATAAGGAAGATGTTGTATGACATTTGTCCAACTACGTAGTTAGTTACACGCGAACAAGAAAACATGAGGGGCGTTAGTGCGCTCACCAGTAACAATTGTTTGTCGGTGTTAGAAATTATATTTCAAATTGATTTGCCGAAAGGCAAGTCCATCTGAAATTAAATTTAACTTGCCCCTCTAGTTATATACTTTCACAACACTGATTGTTTTTTTTTCCTTCATGATAAACAATCGGGCTAAGAAGGCACTAGATCACTTATCTGACCCATCATTTCATTGTTCACTTTATAAATTGTAATATATTGTCCTTATGTCTTGGAAATGTTTTGCTAAAATATTTATTTTGCAAGTGAGTTCCTTATATACCGTGGGTAACCGACGATGTATTCGTGTATGAAAATCCGTTAAATTATAAATTAAAATAACGACAAACTGTGCTCCTGACAGACTTTAAAAGTCCGTGCATGGTACGTTGTGCAGATAAGAACGGGATATTATATATTTTCGTCCGATCAGTTCATATAAATGTTTGTCATAGTATAATAGAAATAAAAGGTATTTCTCGATCAATATGGTCTGACGTTCTTGACTTTTATTATCCAGAATTTTATCTATGCACGGCATACATAGATTCAGTTTCTTCTTGGACATACTATAAATTGTGTTCTGTTCACTGGAAATATATTTTCATATCATTTTCATTGATTCATAAAGAATTAGTTATCCGAAGACTAGCGTAAAAATATTTTTGAAATTTAGGAGATCTGACCAACTGTCATATGTAGGCGTTCACATAAAAGTGTTGTCTGTTTCTTTTGACATTGTTAGAAAACGAAGATGCATGCAAAGCATGCTCTTGAATCCGTATTATAATTGGTATCAGATTACGGATAAATAAATTTCAACACATTCTTAAAAGCTACATTGTTTTTAAACCATCCCCATGGTTGTTGCATGCCATGCTAAATTTTTATTGCTCTTGAATCCGTAATACTTAACAATATTGAAACTACCGATTTCCCTCAGGGTGGGCTGCGCGTTATCAATAATTGACAGATTACGTGCATAGCGGATATAAATGGTAAGGGTATCGTTTTAAAAGTTTTAAAACGTTTAAAAAATAGTTTCTGGACTAACTACTTCCAAAATTAAATCACGAATGTATTCAGAAAAGATTTATAAATCTACTTAGCTAGGTGTGGCTGATTTACCTGAATGATAGATAGGGTAAAAATAAAGTTTACTGAAATTCAATGGGAGTAAAGGGCTGTGTATATCTTTTTAATTATTTGGTACATAATCTATCACAATTCAAAATTGTAATTTGAACATTTGATTAAAGTGACTTGTTATAATACAGTATATCCTGAATGAACTAAATTAAATTTGTAATGATTTTTTGTTTTATATAGTCTGACCCTCTTAGAAAATTGAAGAATTTATCAATTTTAATGAAACTATAAAATTAAACTATAACTACATGTATATCCAAAAGTTTTAAGAAATCAGGATTCGATATCTGCAAATGATAAGAAATGTGGTTATTGATACATTTTTCTCCACATCAGAAAGAATCATAAAAAATACTTTTTGTACACGAAAAAGCAGTCTGCTGTCAGCGAGAACGGTTGCTATATGAGGACCACATCCATGTATCATTATGTCAATAGTATGTCAAATATAGTTAATAAACATAGATGATAGGGGACTTACAAGGCAACAATAGAACTAGACAAACTACCTATATGAACACCTGTGTTTTATGAAGCTATATTGTACGTATTATAATGGTATATAAAAAGACATAATTATCTTATTTCTGAATTCAAGGAGCCAAAACAAAGATATTTTATTCTAATCAAGATCCATGAATAGCTTGATTAAAACACCAGAAATAA